GTGTCGTACTTGTTGTTTACTGTTTTTAAGGGTTTGTGCCAAAACAGGTGTTGCCGGGGGAAAAACGGAGTTTTAAAAAAATTAATTTTTTCAGAAACCAATATAAAATCAGTTAAAATGTGTTCATACTTGAAAAGTAAAGTTCCTTTCCTTTTACTACACAGTGAAACGGCCTAAAGGGCAACGACTGTCGTTTTCAATAATTTTATTAATTAAAAAAAAAACCAAATTTAAAAATAAAATTCTCATCTTGCAACGTTTCCTTCAGGGATTAAGCGTTTTATTTTAGTTGTTTTTCACATGAGGGTTTATGAATAAATTGGGTTATTAAATTTTAAAAATAATATTAAAGATTAATATTTTAAAATTTGTCCTTGACGCAAAAAAAAAAAAACCAATTAAATCTAAGGTAGTTAAGTATTTTCTCTTGTACGTTTGAGGAACCGAAGTAAATTTAGTTTCAAAAAATTAAAAAAACAAAGGGGACACACCCCAACCAAAACATATAAACATAGGGCATTTTTTTACCCCCACCACCAAAACACACGCCGGCGGGGGCAAACCGCACCGGGCACGCATTGCACCGGCACGGGCCACCCACACACAAAAATTTCCCAAGCAATAAAAAATTAATTTACTTTGAGGGGTTTTGGTTGGTTTGAAAGTCAGTGGGGCGTATTTACGTGGTTTTTTGATTTTAATATTTTTTCTTTATTTTTTTGAAAACTGAAAATTTTTGGAATGACAAAATTATATTGCGCCCCTTAAAAAAAAAATTGTAGGTGTTTTTGCTATTTTTTAATTGGGTAATATATTATAGTATATATTATATTTAAAAAAAATAATGAGATTATGATTTATTTATATAAGTAACGGAAACGTAACAAACAGCACCATTGTTGCGTCGTAGTTTGTATCTAAAAACCCACTTTTTTTTACCCCCTTCAGGGAAATGAAGATGAGGACGAAGGATCAACATTTTTTTTGTCCCCACGGGTTTTTGCGGGAAGGCGTCAAAGCTTTGAAGGGTGTCGGACCGCACTTCTATATTGGGGGGGGAAACTGGGGATTAATTTTTGGCCAGCAAGGTTCCCCAAGTTGGGAAAAAAAATCCCACACGAAAGGGATCACTTGATAAATGGGGTTCCATCGCCGTTTTTTCGCGGTGGCGGTGCCCAAAAAAACCAGGAAAAAACAACTTTTTCATGTTGGCGGGGGCTTGCGGAACATGTGTTTGTCGCGGGCCGCCACCACATGTTTTTTAAATAAAAAAGTATTACATGTAAATTAAAAAAAACAATTAAAAGTAAAAAAACACTTTGTCGATTTCTTTCTATTGTTTCGCTGGAATTTTTGTTTTCCAACAGTAACATTCAACAACCACGGGCAAAATTTTAGTAAATTTTACTTGAATGTAAAATTTTAAAAAAAAAAAAAACATGGGGGCTGATTTAAAAAAATGGTTTACGACTGGGAAAACTTTTTCTGGACTCCGGTGGACGGTCAAAAACCGGTAAACAGGGGCATTTGTCGCCAAACCGGGGACGGGAATTTTTCCCGGTGAAGGGGGGGACCGGGGGACAACTTGGGACGTCTGGGAATTTTGTTTTTTGCTTTCGTGTGGCTCCACCCGATGCCGTTCTATTTATGAAGGGAAGCCACCATGGGATGATTTTTTCATTTTGGGGGCGGTAACCCTTTTAAATTCTATTTAAAAAAAAACAACTCATGGGAACCATTTCCTCCCTATAAAAAAAAGTAAATCTGGAAAAAATTATTATAAAAGCATTTCATATGTATTACATTTTTCTTCGTGGTTTTTGCGTGTTGGGAAACATTATAAATTAAATTGTAAGGTGCGTAATTTGGACAAAAAAAAACAAACAAAACCTTATAGGGGCAATTCCGTGGGAGTTTGATAAATTCCACGGTGCAAAGGGAAAAAGCGCAAAGGGAAAAACGATATGGAAAGAACAGAGGCGCAAACGTGTTTATAATATGTGTGGGCTTACACTTATTTGGGGCAGCCCACATGGGGGGGCATTTTTGCAAAACGTTATTGCTAAATTAAAAGGGTTCGTGGTTTTTGTGTGTGTTACAACTGAACTGCAGGGGGGGGGGGGGGGTACTGGATTATTACCCACCCCCCACAAGGGGGACACACACGCGCGCACGGCACCACCGGCACTTCAACGCAACCGGCGCGAGTGCCCACCTCATGGCAAACGCAACGCAAGCTTGCGCAACTCCCACGGCGCCCCACGGCCCAACTGGCCCGCGCGGCACACGCCACCACACGGCACGGCACAAAAACCAACGTTAATTATTTGATATTAAGGATTAATTTAAAGCTAGGAAGGGTCCCACTTTTAAAGCCAGTGTTGGCGGTGTCTGGACCGGTGTTTGGTGGGAAAAAAAGAATCGATTTATATTCATTTATTAACAAAGGGGGGGCTTCATCATTTTTCCCACTTTCAAAGAAAAATTATTTTCCACAAAAAGCAATCAAACAACACGAAACGAACCACCCCACAAACACTCCCTCACGGGGAAACCACAACAAAACCCCACCACATATATTTAATACAATTTTTCTTCCGTATATCATATATGTCCTAATCGCATCCCAACTGGCTATTTTATAACACTATTAATATCAAATTTTTAAAGGGGCAGAAAAACAAAAAAAAAACGCAAAAACCACAAATCATGGGGGGAAGCAAAAAAAAACCAAAAAAAAACAAGTTTAAACAAGATTTGTTTGGAAATGTTTGTTGGATTAATAAAAAATTTTTAGTATATTAAAATCGTGACCCAAACTTTCCCAAAACGTAAAAAGAACCCACGGTTGTTCGGTCGATTTTTAAATTTTTTATCGAGAAGTTTTTAGGGGCACCACTTGGTGATGGAAAGTTTATAGGAAAAAAAAAAAGCTGTTGTGAAGCCTTTTTAAACGTACAATATTATTGAAACTATTGGAAACCTTCAATAATATGTAAAAAAAAAATTAAGGAACTTTACTTTTATAAAATGTTTGTTATTGCAAATTGAAACCACCATTCAATAAATTTTTTAATTTTATTTGCATTTTATATTTTCCTTATTTTTATTTTAGGCCGAATAAAATGCTGGTTTTTTAAAAAAAAACAAAAAAACAGTGGAAACCAGGGACCCAAAAAAAACCAAAACGAAAAACAAAAAAAAAAAAGAAACGGGATTTAAGGCTTTGAAAACCCAAAAAACCATTAATTTTAAAGTTTTTATTGGACAAAAACAAAAAAAACTGGACCGATGGCCTTACATGAACAAACCCAAAGAATGGTCGCCAAAAAAAATTCCCTCGGCCGGTAAAGTTTGCTACCACGACGACACGGGGCACCCGGGCTTGCCAGCTTGCCCACGTGTACCCGCTATTTTTTGCTAAAATCGGATGGACCAAAAACCCGCGCTTTAAAACTTCGACGGAAAAAGACTTCTTCTAGGGGGGGCAAACGGGTTGCGCAGCCGCCACCCTTTATTTAAACGGCCGGCGGCGATGTTGGGTGCAGGGAGTATATAGGAAGTTCTCCCCTTTCAAAAACCGATTTTACCTTTAACAAATAATTTTACAGTTTTTAAAACAAAATAAAAAAACAACCACCCGCCCCCCTCGTTTAAAAACCGGCTCGGGGGGGGGGAACCATTTTAAAATTAGCGGCTTTATAATTAAGACGGTAAAGCTCGTCGGAGTTAAGGGGCGTGTTCGGGAGGGTCCTCCCAACGGGCTTGACATCAGCCCAGGCTTTACCCGTGGGGGGGGACGATGCGGTTTTTTTCGCGGGCTGGCGGGCGACTCGGGCGGCGGTGCCGCGGCGATGGGCAAGCTGGGGGAGGGGGTGACGTCGTTGCTTGCTTGCATCAAAGTCGCCGGAGTGGGAGAAAAGCCTTGTGTTCTCGCGAGGGGCGCGCAGGATCGGGCAGTTAACTCGTTTTTAAGGCATATTCTCCTTCCTTCGCATAATTTTTTGAGCACAGGGCAAAAGGCTTTGGCCAAGGCATTTTATATTAGCTGCATTTCCACCATATTGCATGGCAAAAAGCTTGCTGATCCCTGTAGAAGGGCAAGAAGAGAGAGAGGGAGAGGGAAAAACACGGTTGAGCGTGTCCCCAAAACGATTTAAAATTCGAGAGAGAGGAAAAAAGAAAGGGTTTTGACGAGGATAAGAGGGAGTCGGTGGAAAAAATAAGGATCCACATAGGTAAAAACCGTTTATAAAAAAAACCGCTTATTGGGTTTGCCCATTCCTTATTACCCACTTTAGATAAAGTTACGTTTATTACCGTGGTAGTGCGGAAACTCACCTTTTCCAAAAAGGGTTTTCCCAATCGGGGGAACCCAAACTTGGAACACGGGGGGCAGAATCCTTCATATTTTTAGCGTATCGGTAAATTTATTTTAAATCTCAACTCATTACCCCACTCAAGAGTTAATTAAAAAACATTCGTTTGGGCTTCCGTTTCCTTCTTTCCCAAAACAATCTGTTTTTCCTTAGGCTTCTGGGGCCTTTCCCCTCGCGGGTTCCCCTACCGGGGGGCTAGGGTTAACCCGTGACGCCGTCTTCGCGGAGACGAGAAGCGGGACTTTCCTCCATTTGGGGCCCGCCCGCAGCAGCGGGCCCCTACCTTGCTTACGTTTTTTTACCCGTTGACGCCGTGTTCTTTCGCGAGCGAAAGCAGACCCTTTTCCTCCCCATGCCTTGGCCCAACAAAGGCAAGCGCCCCCTTTTACCCCTGCTTTAACGGTAAAACCCGTGGGGAAACGGGCCGTTTTCGGCGAAGGGAGGCGGGAACCCTTCCTCCATGCCGGCCCGCAGCCAGCGGCCCCTACCTGCTTTACGTTAAACCCACGTTGGACGGGCCGTTTCTTCGCAGAGGAGCGGGACCTCCTCCATTGCCCGCCCCGCGGCAGGCACAGACGCCCCCTAAAACCTGCGCCTTAACGTACCCGTTTGGGACCGCCGTCTCTTTACGCCGGGGAAGGGAGGCCGGGGAAACTCCCTCCATGGGGGGCCGCCGCCAGCCAGCGCCCCCTGTTTAACCTGCTATTGTTTACCGTTGTTTTGACGTCGTTTCTTCGCGGGAGGGAGCGGAACCTTTCCTCCATTTTTTTTGGGGGCCCGGGCCCGCAGGTGCAAACGCCCCCCCTAACCTTGGCCTTTAACGTTACCGTTTGACGCCGTTTCTTCGCGAAGGAAAAGAGGCGGGGACCTCTCCATGGCCCGCCCGCAAGGCAGCTCCCCTTTTTACCCCCTTTGCTGTGACGTTACGTACCCCCCCCCACCCGTTCTTTCGGCAGGGGAGGAGCGGACCTTCCTTCCCATTTTGCCCGGCCGCAGGCCAAGGCGGGCCCCCTTTACCCTTGCTTACGTTAAAAACCCGGTTGACCGCCGTTTTCTTCGCGGGAGAAGACGGCGAACCTCCCTCCATGGGGGGCCCGCCCGCAGGGCAGGCGGGCCCCCTACCTGCTTACGAACTTGGACGGGCCTGTTTTTTCTTCGCGGAAGAGAGGCGGGGGGGGACTTCCTTCCCGATTTGCCGGCCCGCCAGCAGCGCCCCGCCTTAACCCCTGCTTTTTAACGTTTTTTTTTTTTTGACCCTGGGACCGGGGCCGTTTCTTACGCGGAGGGGAGCGGGGAAACCTTCCGTTTCCATTGTTTTGCCCGGCGGCCCGCAGCAGCGCCCCCTCTTGTCTCTATCTGCGGCCTACGTACCCGTTGACGGCCGTTTCCTTCGCTAAGGGAGCGGGGGGGTAACCCCTTCCATTGGGCCCGGCGCGGCTAGCAAAGCGGGCGCCCCCTAGCCTGCTACGGTTTAACCCCCGGTTTGACGCCGTTCTCGCAGGAAAGAGAGCGGAAGCCTACCTCCATTGGCCCGGCCCGCAGCAGGCGCCCCCTAACGCTTTTTGCTACTTTTTTTAAACCCGCTGACCGCCGTGTCTTCGCGGGACGGAGCGGGACCCATTCCTCCCCATGGCCCACCCGCAAGGCAGCGGCCCCTTACCTTTTTGTTTACGTTTTTTTTTTACCCGTGGGGACGGGCGTTTGCCTTCGGCGGGCGGGAGGGAGCGGGGGAACCCTTCCTTTCCATGCCGCGCCGCAGCAGAGCGCCCCCCTAGCCCGCCTACGTATCCCGTGACGCCTTCTTCGCCGAGGCTGAGCGCGACCTCCTCCATGCCTCGTGCGTGCTCTCTGAAGCAGGCCCCCTACCTCTACGCTACCCGTGACGCCGTTGTTGTTCTGTGGGTGTGTGTGGTTGCGGGTGGTTGTTTGAGCTCGGTGTGTTAATGTATGGGGTGTTGTGGGGTAGGGGTCGTTGTGTCGGCTGGGCCGCTATGGCGGCGCGGGGGGGGCGGGGGGTGGGCGGGTGACGGAGTGGGTGGTTGCTAGCGGCCCCCTACGCTTGCTAGCGTTAGCCCCGACCCGGTTGTTGCTGGCGGGGTGCGGTGTGTTGGGTGAGGAGCGGACCTCCTCCATGCCCGCCCGCCAGCAGCGCCCTACCTGCCTACTTACCCGCTGACGCCGTTCTCTGCGAGGAGCGGACCTCCTCCATGCCCGCCGCAGCAGCGCCCCCTACCTGCCTACGTACCCGTGACGCCTTCTTCGCGAGGGAGCGACCTCCTCCATGCCCGCCGCAGCAGCGCCCCCTACCTGCTACGTACCCGTGACGCCGTTCTTCGCGAGGAGCGGACCTCCTCCATGCCCGCGCGCAGCAGCGCCCCCTACCTGCTACGTACCGTGACGCCGTTCTCGCGCAGGGAGCGAACCTCCTCCATGCCGCGCGCAGCCAGCGCCCCTACCTGCCTACGTACCCGTGACGCCGTTTCTTCGCGAACGGGAGCGGACCTCCTCCATGCCCGCCGCAGGCGGCCCCCTACCTGCTACGTACCCGTGACGCCGTTCTTCGCGAGGAGCGGGACTCCTCCATGCCGCCCCGCAGCAGCGCCCCCTACCTGCTACGTACCCGTGACGCCGCTCTCCGGAGGGAGCGGACCTCCTCCATGCCGCCGCAGCAGCGCCCCCTACCTGCTACGTACCTGTGACGCCGTCGTCGCGAGGGAGCGGACCTCCTCATGCCCGCGCCGCAGCAGCGCCCCCTACCTGCTACGTACCCGTGACGCCGTTCTTCGCGAGGGAGCGCGACCTCCTCCATGCCCGCCCGCAGGCCAGCGCCCCGTAGCTGCTACGTACCCGTGAGGCCGTTCTTCGCGAGGGAGCCGGACCTCCTCCATGCCGCTGCCGCAGCAGCGCCCCTCTACCTGCTACCGGTACCCGGTGACCCGTTCTTCGCGAGGGAGCGACTCCTCCATGCACCGCGCGCAGCCAGCGCCCTGACCTGCTACTACGTACCCGTGACGCCGTTCTTCTCGAGGGAGCGGACCTCCTCCATGCCCGCGCGCAGCAGCGCCCCCTACCTGCTACGTACCCGTGACGCCGTTCTTCGCGAGGGAGCGGACCTCCTCCATGCCCGCGCGCAGCAGCGCCCCCTACCTGCTATGTACCTGTGACACCGTTCTTCGCGAGAGAGCGGACCTCCTCCATGCCCGCGCGCAGCAGCGCCCCCTACCTGCTACGTACCCGTGACGCCGTTCTTCGCGAGGGAGCGGACCTCCTCCATGCCCGCCCGCAGCAGCGCCCCCTACCTGCTACGTACCCGTGACGCCGTTCTTCGCGAGGGAGCGGACCTCCTCCATGCCCGCGCGCAGCAGCGCGGCCATGTCCGCCGGCTGCCCGACGACGTAGAAGCCGAACACTCCGGAGTCCGTGTAGCTGGCGTTGACGGCCGACGCCGCGAACGGTCCCGTCGCGACCTTCGCGAGCGACGAGGTCAAGGTCGTCGCCGTCGCGCCGTACTTGATCGTCGGGCCGGCGCCGAGCAGCTTCTGCAGCAGCGCTAGCGCCACCACGTCGCGCGCGCTCGTGACGGCGGCGCCCTCTGCGACAACGGCGGCGTGTGCGAGTGGCGCCCCCGTGAGCTCTCGAATCTCACCGCCGCCGAAACGCGCGGTGGTCGCGTCGGCGCTGGCGCCCCCTGCCGCGGCTGTGAACCTAGTAATGGCAATCGGTTGCACCCAATCGATGACCGAAGATAATCGGTTGAATGTTATTGATCGCGGCCACCAGATATTGAATCATATAATACAGTATTTTTTACAATACAATATTTCTAAAAGCTATGTAACAGTATTATACTTCCTTCTGTTTGGTGTAGGTTAGAAAAGTAACCAAAAAAAGAAACACAAAAATAAAATAAAGAGTCATTTCATCAATGTTTTGCAAGTTTAATTTTAAATTAAAATTCTTTTTTTCGATAATCGAGCGCTTAGTCGGTTGCTGCAAACGACAGACTTCATCGATTATAATCGATCATCGAGGCGTCACTAGCCGTACCTGTGTGAGACGTGATCGATGAGCGAGGCGTGCGAGACTCCGAGGCCGACGACGGCGAGACGACCCGGCGTACAGTAGCGCCCCCAGTGGTCGGCCATGGCGGCGGCGTCGTGGCGGCCGACCATGTAGGCGGGGGAGTAGAGTGAGCGGCCGAGGGTGTCGCGGTAGGCTGCTGCATGCACCGTCTCCATGACGCGCATGCACGCCGACTGCTCGTAGTGTGCTAGGTTCACCTATAACACGGAGGATGCGCAACACGGTGAGGTTCACGCTCCACCTGATGAGGGTTTGTTAGAGGGGGGAACTCGTGATTTTCGCAGCAGGGTTTCGAAAGGCCGTGACCAATAGTTTGCGATGAAAATGAAAGTATCGTACTAAAACGTCCACAAATTAAAAACGAGGTTTTAGGTAAGGGGTGGGAACAAATCTCGCGATTTTTGCACCGAAAGCACTGAATACTACACTATAGTCTATACTATACGAGAACGAAATGTTTCCAAAGATCAACAGTTAATGACAAAAAGTGGAAAATCGCACTTTATGGACAACGCATCGATATCCGGCGTTATTCGCAATATCGATTAGCATTTGTTAGCAAACATTCGCACTCGACTAAAAACATTAAAACGCTGACGTTGGAAGCTACGGTAATTGACCCACTGCTTAAAAGGCCTAAAAACCTGTGAATAATATTAGTAGTATAAAGGAACGAAATGTTCTGTAGTTGTTAAAAAATCAATAGTCTGTCACGAAAACAAAACATCGCACTGGATTCCGAACATTTCGACGCCGCGGCAAAAGCCAGACTAACTCAACTTCATAACATTTTGACCCCGCGGCAAAAGCCACACTAAAGCTAGCAGCACACTTCACCATTTTCGTTGCACGTACAGGCAATTTTCGTGGTCGGCAATTTTTGTGGCCGTTGCCGCGTCACAGCACACTTCACCACAAGTTGCCACCACGAGCAATTTTTGTGGTGAGAAATCAAACCGGTTTGATTCTCGGCAACTCGTGGTCACCACTAAATTTCCGTGGTGAGTGGTCGTTGCCGGCCCCCGCACACTTGGCCATTTTTGTGGCGAGCACGAAAATTGCCTGTACGAGCAACGAAAATGGTGAAGTGTGCTGCTAGCTTAACTCAACTTCATAACATTTCGACATTGCGGCGACGGCAAAGCCAGCGTAACTCACCTTCAGTCTGTTGGCGGCAGCGTCGAGCTCCCATTGGTTGAACACGGGCGCGGTGACGACGCTGGCGAGAAACGGCATCGCTGCGTCAAAGTTGTTTCGCAGGACGTCCAGCGTGTAGATGAGATGTTCTCTTGTTCCCGTCGCGGAGAGACTCGCTCCGAACGACTCCAGGTTACGAACGTTGCCGAAGAACGACGTGTCCTGCAGCGCGGAGAAACAAGCGAACGTTTACCGCCCTCCGCAGCGACGTGAACGCAGATGTGCGTGCTCGCTTAAAATCTTAGTTGTTATCTATGGCCAATGGTCATCAAAAATTGCGTGGCTGTTCTATTGCGGCGTTTTAGATGTTAAAAACAAAGAACAAATGCAATTCGAAGGTTTAACGCTCGCCGCTTCAACGTTATCGCAAGATGTGGACAGATTCTTAAAGGATTTATTTCGAAATCATTTCTCGAAAAACGCAAAAATATAGCGAAATATGGTCTCACCTAATAGCGGATATGTTACTGATTACACCAACGTGAAAAGACTAAGAATTTATGCTGTTATAGCATGGAAAATTAAGCACAGATGTATATGCTTGCTTAAAACCCTGGGCCCTGTTGTCAGAAACAAAATTAGTTTTAACATTAGTCTTAACATTAACTTCCGCTCGCAAACCGTTGACAGAAACATCGCAACGTTACGAGAATGAAAAATCCTCGCAAATATCCTCTTAACATTACGAGAGCCCAGACAGTCTCCTAACTTTAATATTAAGATGAAAATAATGCATTCACACAAAGAATGGCAGTTATAGTGATATTATATATTATATTAATGAATCAAATGTTTTTCTTAAAAAAACACGTCAGAAACATTATTTATCTACCGATCGTAAACCAAAACAAACATTTACAAATGGCGTTTGTTCTCATTTTAAATATTTTGAGAATTCACGACTCTCGCGTCTCGTGTTACAGTGTGAGAATTTGTCTTGCTGTGCAGAATAAATTCATGACCGTGTCGTTTTTCATCAAATATTATTTATACGTAGTTACCAACCACAATATGCACAAATTACTGTGATGTACAATAAATGTGTATGAACTTGAATTTGATCGATTCTCATCCAATCGGCAGCCTTGTGACATCAAGTTATCAAGTTCCTGTTATCGTGAATTTTCTCATAGCTATGCTCTGCATTTCTGTCAACGCTATTCTCGTAACATTAACATTAGACGTAAGTGCTATCTTAGCAATAACATTAGCTTTTTCGTTTTCATTTTCTCTTCAGTGCCAATGCTAGTAACAAAACCTCATCATCTTCATCTGAGGAAGACAAAGGACCGATCATCTTTGTATACTATACTCGTGAAAAAGAGCACGCTCAAACACAATGAACTTTTCAGCACACCGCTATACAGCAACCGTTCTAACTGCACAGCAAACCGCGCAGGTGGAGACGGAAGCCCAGCCCGGCAAAAATGACGAGCCGTTCTGTGCCGTTCTGTGCGTACAGACACAGCTCCACCTTATTTATTCCTACCTTTCTTTCACAGTTTCCCCGTACAAGATCCAATAAGCACAAAGCTAAACTCAGCGAGGAGTTAACCAACCTGAGTGGATTGTAGGGGCTACAAAAAATGTATTAATTTACTGTACAGTAAGTTGTACCTTGCCACATTCTATTATAAAGCTTAGAGACAAAAAACAATTTGTGGTGTGTAAGTCTGGTTGTAATTTACACCATCGATCATCGAAAACTGTCGCCATTTCTTGGCGGCGTTTTCGATGTCGTCGTTTTGTTACCTTTGTTGCGAGTGCGCCAGCATTTCGGAGAGCGTGGGTTACTCCTAGGTTCTGTGAGCTTTCGAATCGCGCTCCAGCGTTGTATACAACCACCACCTTGGACACCGGAGAGAAATTCTCTACTGAGACAACCTGTAAAAGGACAGAGCATTATTCAATAATAATCATATCAAACATGAAGAGATGTTCTAAATCACTCACAACTAACGAACACTGCAGTCAATAGCAGTTAAAATTATTACAGAGGCAGTATTCTATTTCGTGGGTATAAACCGAATTTAATTGATTCGAACCGCGGGCCCAATCCAAGTTCAGCACCCAGAATAAGTGAGATCGGAAAGTCTAGCTGTGCTATGTAGGTCACAGAAAAAGGTGGTATAAAATGGCCGAGGCACGCTTAAGAAAGTACACGATTAATGTGAACACTCGTGCATTTTTACTTTTTGCATTAACACAAACATTGCAAAATATCCCAAACGACCACAATCGTATTTGTAAATGTTTATGTAAACAGAAATGCACCTGTGAATTGAAGTATGATGTTTGTGAAGAAAATTATAGATCAAAAACTTAGAATAGTCCTATCCTACCCATGTTATAATTTAAGGGCTGTTTATACCCCCTCTTATCTGATCTCAATTTGGCGGCGGGAACTTTCCGATTTGGCTTATTGGTTCAGCACGTTTGTGAAAACACATTTGCGGGGTCTCAAACAAGGACAGCACAGAAGTGTGAGTACTGACCTGGATCCCGTTGGCTAGTTTGCTGATTTTCGGCTGCTCTTTCTGAAGGGAAGCTTGAACAGCCTCCGTCTTCTGTGCAGCGGCGGCCTGCGCTGCGTATAATCGCCGCCCGATGGCGCTAGCGGAGCTACGCATGATCGTTCGTTCAGACCTACAACACGACGCTTAGCAAGTTAGCGCTATCAAAAATATATTGACCGATTATCGGCGATTTCTATCGAGTAACTCGTTAACCCTAAACTGTTAACAGTTTGCAACTGAAATAGCTAAACAAATAAATAGTGCGTTCGATTTGCTTCCCCAGAGCCACCTGGGTTAACCTGGGTACGAAATCGAACGCATCTGGGTTAGGGAAGATAA